TTTTGGATTCATTGTTTTAATTATAAAAGCTAAATAGCTAAATTAAAAAAAAAAGTATTTTTACAGTCTTTTTCATAACTTGATTTTGTTTTTTACAGTCTATTGTTCGTACTAGTTGAAAATCCTTTTAACCTTGTAGGACCTGGCATCCACATATGCAAGAGTTCAGGTCTTAGGATGTTAAAGTAACACAGAAAGTTCTCTAAAAAAAACTAGAAACAAAAAATAAGTAGAAATTTATAAAAATCAAACATATAAAAATTAGACATTTCTTTAGAATTTTGATTTTGGTTCAGCTGAATAAAAACATAAGCAAATAAAAGTGGTCTTGACTCCCCTAGAAAAGATTGAAAATAACTTAACCATAGGAACATGCTAAACTAAAGTGTGTCCTGTAATCACCATCTCAGGTGTCTTCAGTCTGTAATCAGTCAGCCTGTCTAGTTAAAGAGCAGCAGGTAGTCATAGGGCTGTTTGGTATCATGGTGTGCACCACACTAAACATAGACTGCAAGAAGCTCAATAAGCTATTTATGATATTTCTGACTTGCTCTCGACAAAGATGGACACTTTCTTTTCCCTCTCCTGCCTCCCTCCTGCTTTTGCTCTTGTTCTGTGAATCTTTCTCAGAGCCGCTCTTTACACATCTTCCAAATTATAAATTATGGATCTGGTCAGCTGGTCTCTCAACACAGTTGATAAAATTTTCTCGTCGAGAAGACAGGGTGCAGGAGAACCCTCATGCCCTGAAGGGACACACGCAGCTGGATATATCATGGATTTCTGGGGACAGATGGTGTGTTTGTCCATATTATCCGTTGAAGACGCGTACATAATTGGATTTATAACAGGATTTCTGCTTTTTGGAATCAGTGTGTACCTGGGATATCGACAAATTAGGAAGATGTCGGCAGCAGTTTTGGCAGTTATGAGGCTTGACTTATGTAATGGACTGTACCGTGCTTCAAGCGCTCAAACTCAGATGCTTCGCAAGCTAAACTGTAAGCTGGACGCAATTTCTGAGAATCGCAGGTCACTTGTGGCTCCTGAAACTTGCTGGCATAAAGGAATCGACCTTGGAGAAGGCTACAAGCACAGACCGGTGCAATGACCACAAATCTGGCTGTTTGGATTCACCATTGAGTACCAGCAGAACTATGAAGGCAGACATGAAATCAGTAGAGTCGGCCTGCCCCAAAACAATTGTTGTTTATCTGCATCTGGCTTCCCCACTTGGCCTTGGACAGGCCAACTTATCTCAAATTGCTCCTTTAGGATATGTAAATCATGAAGCTCTGCTCTACCCCCCCCCCCCCCCCCCCCAAAAAAAAAAAAAGAAGAACATCGGTGGACCCTTATCAGAGCTGAGCTGGCTGATAGACACTGTACCATCTTTATCAGGACTATAGAACTCTCTGGCAGTGTTCACGAACAGTCTCACCACCTTTGTCAGCCTCCATCCCACCCTGCAAAATGTCTTGTGTCTATCTGTGTTGCTTTTGTGTGCTGAGGTAGGTTTTTTGCTACTTTACAATGCGTCCTGTGTGTCAAGGACACAGTGTGAGAGATCTTTTTTTATATACCTTCTTCTTTCCTCATGTTTTTCTTCCCTTTCCTTATCTAAATGATAAGGGCGGCGCTTCTCAGCAAAGCTGCAGCCTCCGTGCACCTCCGTCTACCCTTGTTTTCTTTGGACGGCTGCACTGAAATGTGTTTCGTTGTGCTTAACTGTGCAATGACAATAAAGTTGATTCTGATTCTGATTCTGTAGCAAATCTCCCAAATGTCTTTTCTGGTTTTTGGTAGTGGTAACACACTCCAGGGTTTTCAGTAGCCTCCACATGGCCACCCCAAGTAAAATGTTTCTAGATCAGTTCAGCATTGTGTACTCATGGTGGCTCAACCTGAACTTCACACTCGTGGAGGTGCTGTTCTGTTGGAGGCTTACTTTTTACCCGTTTTGTTAAAAATGTTTAGTTAAAAATGTGCTATAGGATATCACATGTACTGTCTATCATAATGTGCTATTAGAAGAGATGATTCTGAGATTATCGAGAATGCAAATTGGGTGTCATTGGTATGTTAACTTAATATTTTACATCTGGCAACACTAGAATGTCAGACTGAAATTAAACTACAGCACCAGATCAATTTATTTATAGCTTTAAAGTAACTGTGCTTATTTTGCAGAATTTCCAAAAAGTTGAAAAACAAAACAACTGAGCCTTGTTATGTACTGAGACCTCTCATGTAGATCTATACATTTTGGAACTCCACACACTCCAGACGTTTTGAAAGGTTGAGGAGCATTAAGTGTAGAACCACTAGACTGAGGAACAGCTTCTACCCTGAGGCTGTTAGACTCAATCTCTAACCAGAATAATCACTGTGAAAAATCACATCATGTTGCTGCTGATCTCTTTCATGTTGATGTGTTCATTTGTGCTCATTTGCTCACTCAGACTCATGTTCGTGCTGCTGATCAGCGTATTGTTTTTATGCTATTAGTGCTTAGTGTATTATTTAGTTTATGTTTTTCTAAGTTCATATCTTAGATCTTATTACTGTTTTTCTTTTACATTTTATTGTTGGGCAGCACGGTGGCGCAACTGGTAGAGCTGCTGCCTCTCAGCAAGCAGGTCCTTGGTTCAAACCCCGGTCCAGGGGCCTTTCTGGGTGGAGTTTGCATGTTCTCTCCGTGTATGCGTGGGTTTTCTCCGGGTGCTCCGGTTTCCTCCCACAGATCAAAAACATGCATGCTAGGCTGATTGGTAACTCTAAATTGTTCCTAGGTGTGAGTGAGAGAGTGAATGGTTGTTTGTCTCGTTTGTCTCTGTGTGTCACTGTGATGGACTGGAGACCTGTCCAGGGTGTACCCCGCCCCTCGCACAGTGATTGCTGGACATGGGCACCGGCGACCCCCGTGACCCAAAATGGAATAAACGGGTAAAGATAATGGATGGATGGATTTTATTGTTGGATGTAACTGGGACTCTGTTTTGTTCCACCACATGTACCACATGTGGTGTGAATGACAAATAAAGAAACTCTCTGACTCTCTCATTCTCTCTCTGAATGTCAAACTTTGTAAAGTAACACTGAGGACCTAAAAATTTGATATTATTGAATTAATTAGCTGGTCATTACCCTCCATAGTCAGCCTGTACTAAGTGTTTATACAGTGCCTTGTGAAAGTATTCGGCCCCCTTGAACTTTTCAACCTTTTGCCACATTTCAGGCTTCAAACATAAAGATATAAAATTTAAATTTTTTTGTGAAGAATCAACAACAAGTGGGACACAATCGTGAAGTGGAATGAAATTTCTTGGATGTGTCAAACTTGTTTAACAAATAAAAAACTGAGAAGTGGGGCGTGCAATATTATTCAACCCCCTTTACTTTCAGTGCAGCAAACTCACTCCAGAAGTTCAGTGAGGATCTATGAATGATCCAATGTTGTCCCAAATGACTGATGATGATAAATAGAATCCACCTGTGTGTAATCAAATCTCCGTATAAATGCACCTGCTCTGTGATAGTCTCAGGGATCTGTTCAAAGCGCAGAGAGCATCATGAAGACCAAGGAACACACCAGGCAGATCCGAGATACTGTTGTGGAGAAGTTTAAAGCCGGATTTGGATACAAAAAGATTTCCCAAGCTTTAAACATCTCAAGGAGCACTGTGCAAGCAATCATACTGAAATGGAAGGAGTATCAGGCCACTGCAAATCTACCAAGACCCGGCCGTCCCTCTAAACTTTCATCTGGAACAAGGAGAAGACTGATCAGAGATGCAGCCAAGAGGCCCATGATCACTCTGGATGAACTGCAGAGATCTACAGCTGAGGTGGGAGAGTCTGTCCATAGGACAACAATCAGTCGTACACTGCACAAATCTGGCCTTTATGGAAGAGTGGCAAGAAGAAAGCCATTTCTCAAAGATATCCATAAAAAGTGTTGTTTAAAGTTTGACACAAGCACCTGGGAGACACACCAAACATGTGGAAGAAGGTGCTCTGGTCACATGAAACCAAAATCCAACTGTTTGGCCACAATGCAAAGCGATATGTTTGGCGTAAAAGCAACACAGCTCAGCACCCTGAACACACCATCCCCACTGTCAAACAAGGTGGTGGCAGCATCATGGTTTGGGCCTGCTTTTCGTCAGCAGGGACAAGGAAGATGGTCAGAATTGATGGGAAGATGGATGGGGCCAAATACAGGACCATTCTGGAAGAAAACCTGTTTGAGTCTGCAAGAGACCTGAGACTGGGACGGAGATTTATCTTCCAACAAGACAATGATCCAAAACATAAAGACACATCTACAATGGAATGGTTCAGAAATAAACGTATCCAGGTGTTGGAACGGCCAAGTCAAAGTCCAGACCTGAATCCAATCGAGAATCTGTGGAAAGAGCTGAAGACTGCTGTTCACAAACGCTCTCCATCCAACCTCACTGAGCTCGAGCTGTTTTGCAAAGAAGAATGGGCAGAATTTCAGTGTCTCCATGTGCAAAACTGATAGAGACAAACCCCAAGAGACTTGCAGCTGGAACTGCAGCAAAAGGTGGCGCTACAAAGTATTAACGCAAGGGGGCCGAATAATATTGCACGCCCCACTTTTCAGTTTTTATTTGTTAAAATAGTTTGACACATCCAATAAATTTCATTCCACTTCACGATTGTGTCCCACTTCTTGTTGATTCTTCACAAAAAATTAAAATTTTATACCTTTATGTTTGAAGCCTGAAATGTGGCAAAAGGTTGAAAAGTTCAAGGGGGCCAAATACTTTTGCAAGGCACTGTATTTAGCTCTGAATTAATGCTGCCAACTTCAGCTCACCCACCTGTAATCTCCGTAGGTCTCATCTTTCATTGGCCAAACGTCTGAACCAACGTCCTTGTTTTCTTTGTTCTTGACTGTAGTAAAACAGAAAAAGAATAAAAGTCTCTTATCAATATTATTTAGCTCACATACTGTCTGCTGTACCCGATCTTGTGTTGGTGTACCTGCATATTTCCCACCCCTGCTGCGTTTAATAAGGCAGAGGATGAGGAGGATCAGGATGAGCAGGATGATGGCACTGATGAGTCCTATCAGCCAGCCTTGGGTGGCAAACCCTCCAGGCATCTCTGATGGAACTGAAAGACAAGGATTTCATTCAGTCCAGTTTTATTTGTACAGTAAAACCCTTTAGAACTCCTTAAAGAGAACAAAGTACAGTGCAATACAGTAAAACAAGCAAACACTCACAATAAAAGATTAAAATAATTTTTTTCCCCTTTCGGCTGCTCCCTTCTTCAAGGGGTCGCCACAGAGAACTAAGTTGCACGAAGACTTGGTAATTATTTTTACGCCGGATGACCTTCATGATGCATCCACAGACCACTGAGCTACCACAGCCCTCTGTGTGGAGCAGAGAGCTGCTATCTGGGGCACCCGGGGAGCAGATGGTGGGGTTAAGGGCCTTGCTCAATGGCCCAGAGTGGAGCAAATGAGGGTGGAGGCAGGTGTGGGTGCTTCACCTATCCCACCCACATTTTGATGATGCTGGTAACGGAAGTTGGACCGGCGATCTTCCGATTACAGGCCCACCTTCTCTAACCTAAAAAGATACCTTAAATTAAAAGGATAAAAATAAGAACTAATAACTGATAAAAACCATGAAAATCAACAACTTAAAAGACAGCAAAAGCCAAAGAATAAAAATGGTTCAAAGTGAAGCTTTTAAAAACAGCTAAAGTGGAGGAATAGTGTGCAAAGGCAAATCTTTCCATTACTTTGGCCCCAGTACCACAAAAATCTGGTCTCCTCTGAACTTACACCTGGTACTGGGTACACTCAGGAGCAACTGACCAGCAGATCTGAGAGACCAGGAAGGTGTGTAAGGGTGTAGCAGCTCAGAAAGGTAAGGAGGGACAAGACTGTTTAATGATTTAAAAACAAATAAAATAATTTTTAAATGGATTGGCAACGAATGCAAGGATTTTAAAACAGATGTAATGTGGTCAAATTTCCTTGTGCCAGTTAAAAGATGTGCAGAAGCATTTTGCACCATCTGTAAATGGGCAAAAACAGACACACTGACTTCAGCATTACAATAAAGCATTACAATAAAGTAACAAAGGCATGGATCACTATTTCAAACAGATGCCATGGAAGAAGTGGCCTTATTTTAGCCAGCTGCCTCAGATGAAAGAAACTAGATTTCTCCACTGCCCTTATCTGACTGTCAAATGTACGGGTACTATCAATTTTGACCCCAAATTTATGACGTTGTCTTGACCATGTGAGTGGTGGTCTGATCTAAGCAGAGGCACTGCTGAAAATCAACACCTCACTTTTCTTCTTGTTAAAATTAAAAACTTTTAGCAAAATCCAGGCCTGAACCTCATCAAGGCTGTCGAGTAAGTGTCTGACTGACGATGACGAGGCATCCTTTCTATTGAGATTGACAAGTAGGCAAATCTGTGTATAATCCTCATAACAGTGGAAAGGTATACCCTGCTCCTGAGGATGGAACCAAGTGGAAGCAGGTAAAGAAAAAATAAAAGGCGACCCAGAATTTAGACCAGAGGAACTCCACACAAAAGGGTGGGTGGGTTGGTGGGGGTGCGGGAGCGCAGGTGAAGATCTGAAATCACAGAGACTGACACAGAATGTCTGCCCTGATAGTCAAGTAAAATACATTTTATTTATAAAGCACATTTTAAATAGCAGCAGTTACCAAAGTGTTTAACAATAAGATCAAGGCAGTAATTAAAGGAAAAAACTAATAACAAGATTGTTATTAAAAGCATTAAAATAAAAATATAACAACACAAAAACAATGATAAACATCCATCCATCCATTATCTTTACCCGTTTATTCCATTTTGGGTCACGGGGGTCACCGGTGCCCATGTCCAGCAATCACTGTGCGAGGGGCGGGGTACACCCTGGACGGGTCGCAAGTCCATCACAGGGCCACATAGAGACAAACGAGACAAACAACCAATCACTCTCTCACTCACACCTAGGGACAATTTAGAGTTACCAATCAGCCTAACATGCATGTTTTTGGTCTGTGGGAGGAAACTGGAGTACCCGGAGAAAACCCACGCATGCACGGAGAGAACATGCAAACTCCACCCAGAAGGGCCCCTGGACCGGGGTTTGAACCAGGGACCTTGTCGCTGAGAGGCAGCAGCTCTACCAGTTGCGCCACCGTGCTGCCCCAATGATAAACAATGAAATACTAAATCAAATCATATTGTGTTAAATGTAAGTGAAAACTGGTGTGTTTTTAGGAGAGATTCAAAAGCAGGAAGTGAAGGGGCCTGTCTAATGTTGGGGGACAGATTGTTCCAGAGTTTAGGGCCCACGACTGAAAAAGCTCAATCTCATCTGAGCTTCAGCCTTAATTTTGCTACAACCAAAAGCAGCTGATCAGATGGTCTCAGCACCCAAAAAGGAACATATGGTTGAAGTAGGTCAGAGAGGTGTGAGGGTGCAAGGCCATTTATGCACTTATATGTCAACAGCAGAATTTTAAAATCAGCAATGGCGCAGTCGGTAGAGCTGCTGCCTCTCAGCAAGCAGGTTGTCTCGGGACTCAAGACTCAGAGTAAAACCGCTGCTCCTCCATGTTGAAAGGAGCCAGTTGAGGTGGTTCAGTCATTTGGCCAGGATGCTTCCTGGGTGCCTCCCTACTGAGGTTCTTTGGGCATGTCCGACTGGGAGGAGACCCCAGGGAAGACCCAGGATACACTGGCGAGACTATGTCTCTCAGTTGGCCTGGCATCGCCTTGGAGTCCTCGCAGAAGAGCTGGAAGAGGTGGCTGTGGAAAGAGATGTCTGGACCTCCCTGCTCAAGCTGCTGACCCAACAACCCGACTTTAGAATAAGCAGAAGATGATGGATGGATGGATGGAAAACATTCAAAGTGCCACAGGTCTTTACTGTAATGCGACTGTAAACCAGAGGCCACAGTTCGACCTTCAGTCAGATGCGTACCTTCTTTTCCTTTGAACAAATCTGGGCTAAATACTGATATGAAATCAGAAGCTGAATTTTAAATTGTCTTCTTTTTTAGTCCAAATTTAGTCAACAAGACGAACAATGATTTTGTCAGCCATTTTGAAAAATGGTCACCATCTTAGATTTTTAGATCATGTAAAATTGTTCAGAATACTCTTGGGAACAATCCTGCCAAGTTTGATGATTTTGTACCACATTTTGCACAATTCTTGTGTTAGACTGTGTCACTGTTGGAGGCACTGTGGGTTTCAGTGTCTTGCCAGGCGGCACTTCAATGTTACTGTGCACTGGTTGAATTGAACCCACAACTCTCTCATTGGAAGACAGCTAACTTATCCACAGCTTTCCATTTCCATTTACTAAAAAATGTAAATTAAATCCAAATCTTGCAGAGGTTATTGACATACCTGGTCCTTTGGTCCATATCTGTTCTTTCCAGTGGGTGTAGTTTCCATGTAAAATCTCTAGATGGTACTGTGTTCCTTGTTCGAGGCCTGATAGAAAATAGAAGCCCTGAGTGGAGTTGACCACTTCTGATTTTTTCCACTGACCACCATCTGCACACAGAAACAGAAAAAGTATTGTAACACAGTGACGTTCTATACCCACCTGACGAGGAAAACACCTGTTACCTAATAAAAAAAACTTAAAAAAAACTTCAGGGTCAGTATTTTTTTGTGTGTGTTTAGTTGTTCTGTTTGAGTTTTATTTTGGTGTTTGTTTCTTAAGGCAGTGGGCTTTGTGCACAGTTTGTTCTAATGATGGGCAAATGATATACAGTACCCTCACTATATTGCAGTTCACTTTCTGTGGCTTCACTATATTGTGGGTTTTTTAAACCCATTTTTTTAATATTGTGTTTACTGTATGCTGTGCACTACTGTACATTCATCTTATTGTCATCATCTTCATCATAATCGCCAAAATGTTTAAGAGCAAATGAAGAGCAGTGTTTCCCCTAGACAACTTGCCATGGTGGGGCGCTCATCTCATCCGTGATTTTTGTCAGGGGGTGCAAGCGAGATACGTCTGAGCTGCGCGCTGTTTGTACTGACAGTTTTCAAGCGAGGGGGTGGGTGGTTCAGCGTGAGGGAAGAGGCAGCTGCCTTAAGCGTTTTATCATTGCGCGCCGCTAGCTTAGCGCTATGTCCATGCCGACAGGTAGGGTTTCAGTTTGACGCGCAGTTCGGTTCGGTAGGCGGGGCTCTCGGTTCTGTTGACAGTTCGGGCTGCCCTGCTTATATAATGGTAGGGGAAACACTGATGTGTTTATAAGAGAGTGGGAAAAATTAATAAGAGTGTGGGAAGGGCTTATAAAGCCTTAAATATATATAAATAATGAAATAAATATAACATCGGTACTTTGCGGATTTTCACGTACCGCAGGGGTCTCTGGAACATAACCCCCGGGATAGGTGAGGGACCAGTGTAGAGGCTACGGAGCTTGTGTCACTCTTCCTGAAGCAGAATAATTCATAACACTGAGCCTGAGCTTGTTTCAAAACACCAATCGAGGCTTCGGACGTCAACGCTGCGTCATTTCGCTCTTCATTGACTCAGAATGGTTCACTGCATTCTGTGACAACCACAGTTTTACAGATTTGAAGGGTTTTGTGCCACATAAATTATTGAAGATGCATAATTATTCTTAAAAAAATGTTGGATTGTGAAGAGACAGAATTATGTAAAGTGAGTTTGGTGATTTTCATGGCAATGACAAGCAGTAAATGGCGTTCAAAGGTTTGGGATCGATTTGACCTTACCATCAAAGCGGGTATTATGTTTCCTATGACTTACATTTTATGTTTTAATAACTGAACTTTATTTTTCTTTTTTAAATGGGTCTCAAGTTTACAATTATTTGTACGTGTTTGCGCTTCACGCAGTTGTCTTACAGCAATGACACATCATCTTTGCTGAGTGACAGTCATATGACATCCTGGCAGTAAGCCTCGGCATTTCCAACCTCCAACAACCTTCTCCTAAGTCAGTTAACATGGACTCTGGCTTTTCCTTTGGAGTTGGCGAAAATTTGGACTCATGCTCCATTTGTACAGATCAAGTGAGGAACTGGGGAAGCAATTGTCACTTTTCCACGTTTTATTTTATATTGTTTTGTGTCCTTGTACATTTCCAGCGATGGAAGTGTTATTTATACTGTACTTTTTGGTACCTTTTTTGAATCTAATGTATTGTATGGTTGTATTTTTACATGTCTACTGGATTGACAGATGAGCAGGAGCAAGAGCTTGTAAAGCTCAAATAAAACAATATTGCTTTTTTTGTGTGTGTGTTTCTAGATTTTTAGTGTTCACATGCTGAGTGTTGGACGTTACATGGCTTAAGATGTGGGAGTGAGGTTTAAAAAGGGGGGATATACTTGTTTTGTTCTTCTGTTTGGCAAGTTATTGTGTAAGTTTGTAGGTACAGCTGCTCTGATCTTTTGGCTTGTATTGAGAGAGAAGTCACTGAATTAACTTTGAGATTGTTGAAATATTGACCCTTTGTAATGATTCATGTTTTATGTGTGTATTTTCTGCTTGTTCTGCTAACTTCTCCAGTCTTATCAGCTTCACTCAGCTCACCTGTGCCACTCCCTATCTTCTTTCTGCTACACCTGTGTGCTGCGCTTCTTAACTGCGCCCCAGTCTCTGCCTCCCTGCCAGACTGTCTAATCACCTCGTGCCTAAAGTATTCATCATTCTTGTTCCTGCTCTTGCTCCTGTTATCGACCCCATTTCATGACCATGGATTCCTCTCCTTTTTGCCTTACCAATGACACACCTTCTGCCCATTGGTTATCTGGACCTCGACTCTTGTTTTGCCTTTTAACTACCAATTCTTGTTAAACCCCTCTGATAAGTATTGCCGTCTCTTCCTCTCTGTGAATGACCCATGCCTGCGTATTGACCACGACCTTAGAATCTGGATTCAAGGAATTGTTAGTTCCCAGAATCAAGCTCCACAAACCATCTTCCCCATTGACTCTGACACCATCACAGCTGCTGAATTTCAACTCGTGAGTAAATCCTGCAGGTTAGTGCTTCAGAACCTCTCATGTTTTAACGGTCATAAAGCAATCCCAGTCACCAACCTGTTTTTTTTCCCGCAGAGTTTCAGCTGACATACCCATTTCTTGACATTTCTTTTTGTCTCTTGTAACATTTTGTGTTTATTATAGTATTTAAATGGAAATATGTTTTATTTACCTCAGTCTGTATTTGTACAGGGTTCTTCTGTACATTTTTAAGTATTCTCATTCAGAAAAAGGATCTGTTCAACAAAGTTAGGACTGAGATGCTTTTTACCACACTCTACATTTATAATATTCCAAAATCGAAAACCATGTTCGGTGCCGGACACTCCGGTAAGTGAGAAGAGGCTTTTAAAATGCACTGTAGTATATAAGAGCTTCAAAATATTTTTAATGGCGGGAGGTGAATCAGCCACCAATCAGGTGAGGACAAGAAATATTCATACATATAGAAACTATACACGTTTTTATTTAGTGTATTTGTAGTAGATTTATTTGCAAATCACTATGTTTTCATTTGCATTTCACAAAATTTCAATCTGTTGTTTTGTGACATTTTGGAACAGTTGGTGATGTAATAAAACATGGAATGGAAAGACATGTGACCTGCTCCGCTCGGGACAGTTCGTAGTAGTGTTTTCGGTACATACCAAAGCACTGCTTCAATTGTGCCATTACTAGTTCTTACCACTATTCCTGAAGTAGCGAATGTGGAAGCCATGGTTCCGTTCTCGCTCTCCAGGCACCCAGCTCAGGTTGAACGATGTATTACTGGAAACTATGGTGATGTTTGACGGAGGAGCTGCAGGAAGACAAAAACAAATGGAAGTTTTTGGAGTAATGAATGGACACTTGACTGGTGGAGTCAGAATGTTTAGATATTTTTTGTCTTTTTGACCAATTATGAAGTTTCACAGTACAAGCAATTTTTCCCCTATTTGAGAACCCCTGGCTTATATAAACATGTTGATAATTTTACAACTTCAAGACAAACTTCCCTTGATAAAATTGCACTGCTGAAAAAGAAAGTACAGTAGTCCCTCGTTTATTGTGGGGGAGTCGTACCCTGAAGCCCCATGATAAGTGAAAAACCGCGAAGTAGGAATAGTAGT